ATTCCATGCTCCTGAGAGCGGTGACATCTTCTCCTTTCGGCTCTACCGCCACCTCTGCGTCCGAGACCCCGCCGGCCGCACCAACGCCTTCGGCTCCAAGCAGTTCGACCCTTTCGACGCCGTCATGGCCCAAGTCCGCCACGTGCCCTCTTTGAAGTGGTACCAGATGGTCGTGCTCCGCGAACGGTGCGTCAACGACATTGTCGATGCCCTCGAAGGGGGGGGCCAGCAGCTGCCCATTGGTACCGAGCGCAGCCTCAAGAAGATGTGGCTTCTCATGGACGTGGCCACGACGAAAGGCCGCACCACCATGATCGGAAACGAAGCTCTCTGGACCCATGCTGACCTGCACAATATTCAGTTCTTTCTCACCAAGCTTAGCATGCACTTTCAAGATCCTGTCTGGGCCGACCCCTTCATGAACACCCTTGTCAAACTCCTCTTGGGTCAGCGCACCCTCTACAAGCTCTGGCTCGTGCTCACGCGCCACGGCCTCACGGAGCTGCGAGACATTATTCAGCTCAAGGTCCGCTACGACTATCTGCCCGTCCACGAGCAGTACCGGCGCGCCCTCTTCGGCGAGAAGGTCCTTGGCGTCCCTGCACACGAAGTTGGCGTCCTGCATCTCGAAGCCTGGGGTCGTGGTACAGGCCATCTTCAACGCCCGGATGAGCTGATCCGTACCGAGGCTGTCCGTCGCGGCCTCGATATTGACCGTCACATCATCTACATGATCCTCTGGGGCCAGAAGAGTATACCTGAGGATGATTTCCTGGACGAGGACGAGCTCCCGGACGCGGACATATTGGAAACCACCACATGGGCCGAGCTCTCCCAGCCCCAGCGCGCCGATCTCCTCCAGGAGAACCTCGACACCTTCCGCTCCGAGCGGCAGTTCCTGTTTGCCCGCCAGGCACGCCTCGGTCGTATCGCCCGCATCAACACCGCTGTGCAGGCCGACATGGTCGGCGGCGGCGGATCCGCAAGCAGCGCACCGGCCATCAACCCCGACGATGGCATCGATTTCTCCGCCCTGCCCACGGAAGACGACCCCAGCACATGGACACGCACCGTCGTCAGCCCCGAGCCGGACAGCGGAGCCTTGCGCGGATCCGAGCCGACCCTGACCGAAGCCATGAGGGACGCCATGCGGCGTACCGACCGCGTTGATGGCGCGCAGTCCGACGACGACGTGCGGTTGTACATCTATGGCGTTCTGTTCGGCTCAGGCCTCGCCGACGAGGACCAGGAAATCAGGGCTGACAAGGCGTGGGTCGACTGGGAGAGGGAGGACTCGGACCCGCGGTGGCTCGAGTACGTCGACGAGATCAACGCCCCTGACGACGAGAGTTTTGAGCAATTTGATGATCTCGAGCTCTATGAGCGGCAGGAGGAAACTCATGGTGAAGGTGAAGATGACAGCACGGCTCCAACCCTATATCCCGAGTTGACGGATGATGGAGACGTTGACTGGAATCTGTATGACGATCTGAGCAGTTCAAATACCCCGCCCGAAGTGTGATGAGAACGCAGCAAGCACATCGTTGAATGTTGGTTGAGAGACAGCGCTGGATGTTTGGCTGAGCAGGTTAGCAGGGGATCAAAGGTTGACACTGGTCATGGGTTGGACAAAGGACGGCGTTGCTTCGAGCGACATGCATATACGACCGCAACAGCTCGCCGGCTCAGGAAGGTTCAAAACGATAGTATTGCATATGCTCATTTTCCCTCAAGCGATCATTGCCTGGCCGGTCTTGTCAACATCTTCACACTCGCCCTAATTAGGTGCCAAAGCATGATGGACTCACCTCTAGCATGCCAACAACAGTCGTCGTGTCATTACCGAGCTGCTGTTCGCGGACCTCGCCTTGGCAAAATCAAGCAATAGTATTCTTCATACTTAACGCCGCCTGCAGGATGCAGTTTTTACACCCCACCGGCTAACGGTATGCAACATGAGATATAACTTGGAACAGACGAGTTATGGAAAGCAACACGTTTCGCATTCTCAGACGCGAAAGAAAATTAAAGCAGTCAGCCCGCCTGACCATGTTCACTCCCCGACTCCCCCAACTCTGCCGCCCATCCAACCGTGAAACCATCTTGAAGGGGGCAAAGCTCAAGCCAAAGCCAAAGCCAAATGCCCAAGCAAACTAAAAGTAGTGGGAAGAGAACAAGGACGAAATGAGAATGGGAGAGGTGGAGGAGAGGGGTGTGAGAGTACCAGAAAAGACAAGCAGATCAAATAAAAAAAAAAAAAGAGAGAAGACAGGAAAAAGGACAGACATCGATCGAAGAAGTAGAAGAGCGAGACCGCACACCGAAGCCGAGGTTCCTTTCCCACTCCTTCGCTATGCATCTCTCCCACCGTACTGCCCCCTGGGCTGTCATGCCACAAGCCATTCGCGCGCAACCCCACCCAATGGGCAAAAGTCCGACTCCGCAGTCCAGTCCCCCAAAGTAGCCAGCCCTTTTGTACGGACTCTGATGCTCAACGGCATCAAACGCAACTCCGCCCAACGTGTTCCGAATCCGTCCAGTTGTAGTAACACTCTTTTGTCTTTCCCGCCTCGCAAACTTTTGTACCCGGTTACTCATGGTATTCTGACAACAACCGTGGTCCAAGATTCTTCCCCATCTTGCCGACCGCCTTACTTGAAACATGAAACAAATGGGGTTCCCTCGATGACCAGTGGTCGAGGTGTCGTTGATGCCAAAGCAAATGCTCTATCGTCGTCTCGTCTAAAAGCTCGTCCCGGGGTCGAGGGGTGGGTTCTTCAACGTCCGATGCATAAACGGCGATCGATATACAGCCATCTGGTGAATACACGACCTACTTAGGCAGGGGAATTTGTTCTGCGGGGCGGAGCCTCCATTTTGGGGGACATCTTCCGCCTGTCAAAGAGAGGCCTCCGATGCTGCTGGAAAAGGAGGGCAAAGGGTCTTTCTCGTTCT